CAACTTGTGGAGTTCAGCCAAGAGAGGAACGCTTTCCAGCTCCACAGTAACAGTGGTGGTAGACTGCTAGGGTTTGTAGCAGAGACACTAGACGAAATGGACCATTCTAAGAAGCTATTACTACAGCGAAAGTATCAGCCTTACTGTATCCCAGGAAATCTGAAGGCAGCACATGTCCGTGTCACCATCCTCGTCACAGTGGCCCGACTGGTGCAGGACGATCTAATGGTCAGTGTGAAGACGATGAGGATTAATGAAAGACGAGAAGACAAGCGCGAGCTAAGCGACCTCAACCTATATTTTATTTGGGTTGTGTTCCCGAGAGCACTCCGTCTATAGTTGGAGGAGTCGTCCTCCTCCACCCCCTTTTCTTGGGATGTCCGCAACCAATCATGCTACTGTGGAAAGGAGTACCGAGGTGTTTATATAACCATCTCATCTCATCCCATCCCTGTCTTCCGCTCTGTGCGCAGGGTAGATAATAGCCGTGATGACTCCCACTTCCTTTTCCCACTCTTTCTCATGAACTTATCTTTACGTAAACCCCCCTCACGTCCTCGCATATAAATAAAGACACATGCGCTCCGAATGAACTCCGTCGCTCTCTCTCTCTCTCTATGTGTTGCGGAGATGAGACACTAGCAGAGTCGTGAGACATATAGTTAAGGATAGGATAAGGAGATGGAGGGGATGCAGTGTCAGGCCAAGGGAACCACCAGCCCACGGCTTAAGCTCTTCGGCTTCCACGTGTCCGACAACGACAACCCCGGCGATGGGAGGGCAGTGGTGGGCAGCCCTACGTCTGCTGCTTCTGCCTCCAGCGGCGCCAGCGGCGCCGGCGGCGGAGATGGGAGGAAGTACGAGTGCCAGTACTGCTGCCGAGAGTTCGCTAACTCCCAGGCGTTGGGCGGCCACCAGAACGCCCACAAGAAGGAGCGGCAGCAGATGAAACGCGCCCAGTTGCACCACCACCACCATGCCACCTCCGGCCACCGTTCGCCCCATGGTACCTTCTACCACCAGCCCATCGCCTCCGCCTTCGCCCCGTCGCCGCACCTCTTTTCCCCTCCCCGTTCGCCTCCCCCCACGACGCCGGGGCCGCAGGCTGTGGGCCTCCCGGGGAACGCCGCCGCCAGCTGGGCCTACTACCCCCGCCCCGCGCCGCCCCTTCACCTGCCGCGCGGATGCATCGTTCCCCGGTCTCTACCGACCTGTTACTCTTACGGTGGAGACGGTAGCGAGGGAACCCGGTTCTACGACGACGGCCGGCTGATCGGTGGACCCGGGTTCTCCGGAGTGGCACCGGCGGAGGAAGCGGCGGAGGACGCGTACGGGTTGGACCTTCACCTTAGCCTGGCCCCCGCTGGTTCATGACTCGGTCCCGACTCGGCACTGCGCTCGTATCCCGTTATATCGTATGACCGAGTTCAGCAAATGTTATATATGATGAATTTTATTTCTGTAAATTGCTGGTGTTCGAATTTTTCAATTGATTTTTGCTCCACCGGATGAATTCTTACCAATCTCAAACCATATATTTTCAATTTTATATGATCAAACAATAAATCGAAATCAATCAGAGTAAGCCATTCCCATTTGTTTCGTATATAGTCCCTTTAAGCATGAGCGTCGCAAAAAAAATTATTACTGGAAAACGTAATGTAACAACGAACGAGTCGAAGACGAGTCGAGTGAGTCGGCTCGTCGCCCCGGAACCAGCGCGCGGGTGGTTTCAGATGCACCACCACCTCGAGAACGTACGACGAATGGTGGAGAAGGACACGCGTCGGAGGACGGCACGAAGTACAAACGGGTTGGACGTCCCCACCTTTGGATCGGATCCCGATGCCCTCCATGGAATCCTATGCAGTGTGAAGAGAGCAAGTACGTGTGTGCATCACGAAAGAAAAGGAAGCTGTTTCTTTGGATCTCTCCCCATCTACCTATCTTTGTCATGGAGTTCACAAGATGTGGTGCCCAAACAGTGTTATTGATCTGTTGGTCAAAACATGTCCAAGAGAAAAGCCCCTGGATTAGATCATCTTAAGATTCGTATCACTTAGTTTATTGGTTTCTGACCTTTTTTTCATCTGGTGGGGTGCTGCTTTTGTAGCTTAATTTTCTATCTCCTCTCTCTTACACCACCATGGCATCCAAGAAATATGACTCGATACACATTTGTCTGATATGTACCTCTATCACAGCCACAATTCAGCTCAAAGCAGTCGAAGAAAAGACAGGTTTGAATTGTTCCTATTAAGGCTTTACTTTATATGATACATACATCGCAAGGTGTCACTGTCATTCTATAAACAAAGCATAAAAACCTAAAGCTGTGTCAGGTGAGTTCACTAAACAAAACAAGTTGACAGATACAGAACACTATTTGACAACAGTAGCCTATACCAAGTAAGATTGATTGCAGATATCATTCCAATGTTGTTGTTTTTGGAGTATAGTCTCTTATATCTCCTACAACTGAGCAGCCTAAAAGAATTCTTGATGAACCGATCCAGTAGAGTTGCATGCCCCCATCACCTCCGCTAGATAAGGACCCTTCAACCTACAAGATCTCCAAGTTTCATGTACAAAATTTGCTGACAAGATCAAAGTACTGCCTCCAATTGATTTTGAAACAAAGTCAGTGTTCTCTACAGTGTGTTTCCTCAATCAAAGCCCACTAGACCACGCTGCATGGAGTTTTGAAAGTGTATCTAGACATTGTTCTTTCACCAGCAACAGACTGATTGGTTTCTTCCAGCAGAGTCTGACATCAGATATAAATTGCAAACACTTGGATGGTGAGCACCCCAATGTGCTGAAATGGTCATCTTTAGCTATCTTGCAACTTCAAGAGTCATCCATCAGTCCCTATATATATATATTTATATTTATAGCACCAATCATTCATGTTTGCCACAAACTCCCAATGCAGCCGCTTTATAACAACTGCACTCCTGCAGAACAAGGAAAAATTCTAAATCCTGCTGTGGTTCCTTGTTGTTTTCTTCTTCTCTAAGAATCAATAAGGAAACAACTTCCAAAGACTTGCCTAAACCCACTATACCAAGAAAGTCCAATGCAAAGAAAGCCTCTTCTTTTCTCTGAACTCCCAAGAGATGTGTGTTTGATCCTTGGCTCAAGCCTTCGACATGCCAGACACCTGGACAGAGTACCAAACACTGCACCTATCGATCCTCCCACCAACCAAACTTGCAGAATTCTTTGAGCTAAACACTGTGTTCCAACCTATCTCCACGGCATTGCATCATCATCAAGCGAAGTTTCAAGCCTTTCAGACGCAAGAAGCGTATGCAAGGAGATGGTGGCGGGCATCATTCCGGTGCTGGTCTTTTCTAGGTGAAGCGTATCCCAAGTCCACAACCAACGCCTGCCCTCCATAATTCCGTGCCTAATAAGGGAAAAACACGGCATGGCCCTCCTTTCTCTTGTCAAATAAGTAACTTGCACAAAGGTTCAACTGGGTCGCTTTTTCTAATATGGCCACCAAAGAGACATATCCACAAACACAAGATACGCAAAGCGGGCGCTAATAATAGTCGGGTGTTGCCACTCTCTAACCTTCTGTCCCCCAACTCCAACTGGTGGTCACAGATGCACCCAACCCGGAGGAAAACACTGGGCCCAAGCTCTTGTCGTCACCTGGCACCGAAAGTCTCGGTGAAGTACTGGAAGTGGATGAGGAGTCGAGAAGGTTTTGCAAAGGATGTGTAGGAGCGTCAACGTAGGGTTTGAATCGAGGCAGGAAGATTAGGGGGGACGTTGAGGATCCCACGATGGGAAGAAAGAAGCTTCTTGCTTGTGTGGTGTCGACATGCACAATCATGCATCTCGCATTTCGAGAACTAATTGGAAAGAGGGAGGCAGAGCGGTCAGTTCTTTGACAGGCATCGGAGGAGACAAGTGTGGGAAGACACCAAGAAGAGAAGAGGGTGGGTGGGCCTCTCACATCTCGGCTTTGCATGATGATGGAAACGTTCACCTAATGCTCCGAGCAAATTCCTCGTTGATGATAAGAGGCAATCTCTCTTTTGATTAAAAGAAAAACCCTTCAAATATATAGATTTTGATGCCTAACACTGTATGCCGCCTATGACGTGAAATATTCCTCTTAATCAATACGTGCCATCCTAATCTCAGATCATTGATCGAGTCACATGGGCATCATCTTAATATAAAAATATATATATATATATAATATTTTTATTTTGTATCATAAAATATATATTTTTTCATTAAGTCTATTATAAAATATCTATCATATTATAGTAATCGAGATTAGTTATTATTTTATTAAAAATCATTATTTTCTGTTTCTGAGGGATCATGTCGAGAAATGAATCTGATCCCGATCTTCGTACAATATGATCCCTCCGTCACGCTCGAAGATCGCGTGTGGGTTCGAACATAGTCGGTCTTATTTTGCATGAAAGCAATGCGAATGACCGGCAATTCTCGGATGTGCATGGCAGCTTTTTGATCCACAAAAATACACGGTTGAACTGAATTCTCAGGAATGAAGAGTTGGACAAATTTCCACAAGCTGACACATCAGATGTTTAGATTGTTGACTAGCGTGCACAACTATTTCAAAGTATTAGTGTGCACATAATAAAACCACTGGTGATAGTGGCAGAAAGCAATTGACGTTTTCATCATTAGCATTATTGATCTCTCCCGACTTCAATAAGAGTCTACCAATTGGTCTATAAAGGCATGTCTATAAGAACCAAACAAAAATAAGCTACAAAATCCCAACATATGTTTATTCGAGAAAGGCCCAAATAATGGAACATGAAGCAAAGCAGCAACCAAGAATATAGTATGATGAATAATCTTGGGTAATCATGACTGTCAGGAATGATCAGCATGGCGGTTGATAGTCCCCGTTGAACACTCGAGAACAAAAATCTTCGACACAATGGTTAGCATTGTTCAAAACATCCAATGAATCGAACTCATCAACAACAACACACGTACAACATAAAAAAATGAATGAAATCTTAAGTTGTTGTGACTTTACAAACACATACAACACCAAAAGAATCAACATATGACAGCAGAACTCGCAAGACTTTTGGAGCTCGAAAATAATGTGGGCTAATGACCATAAATCTTCGAGAGTTTGACACTGTGAGCTTACATGTATGGACAAATAATGAAAAAGTGGCACCTTTCTCCTAGTAATGACTGTTGAATCTATAAAACATCATTCCGGAGTAGAAGTGATCAGTTCTACTTGTCACGACGATTGAGATTAAACCATTTCCTTTTGGTTGATTTATCTTTCATGCTGGGGCTTCCATTTGCGGTAGGAGCACTGCTGCTACTACTAGCATCCTCCTTAGAATTTATCACATTACTATTTATCGTAAATGAGGACTGTATATGATTTCTTTGTTTCAACAGCTCGGCAACCTGCGGTGGATAGTCCATAAAGAGCATCAGACAAACAGTGCATAGAAACAGAAACGATTGGAAATCTGACAAAAACTAATCAAATTCTCAAGTTAAAACCATCTTGAGCACGTGTCAAGCAACAACTAAATATACTAATATAACTTCAGTAAAATCAATGAGAAATCAATATAAAGAGTGACTCATTGATTAGTATATAGGATGAGGGAAGCTGCAAATGGAACTATCAGTCAGATCTGGAAAGATCCATTAGTTTGGGAGACAGTACTACAAAAACAAGAAGCTGGAGAATCTGCACAATCAAAATCTTGCAGATCTGACAATTCAGCAACTAAAAATTCACCAAGCCAAATAATATTTATGGTGGAAACAAAGAAAAATGAAAATCCACCATGCAAGGACCAAGGTTTTGTAAATCAATTGTGATACCTTTAAGTTGAGATACCATTCAAATTAAACCATTTTACATGCCACTCCTAAGTTCTGTTATCAAAGAAAATACTTACAGATTGCTTTTCGTGGCTATATCTGTTTGTAACCTCCTGGAAATGTGCAAGTGCCTAGAAACCATACCAGATTAAAGTTAGACAAGTTATTGACATTCCACTGTTTACTGCAAATAAAAAAAACAAATATCCATACTTTTTTGTACTCTACTTCAAACTGCCTCAAGTCATTTCTTTTTGCTAAAATTTTAGACTCAATCTCCTTTAGCTTCCCCTTGGTATCCTCGTATGAATTTGCACACAGCGCCTCGATGGTATAGGTAGCAGGTTTGAAAAAATTATCACCTGGAAAAACACAGTTGGTTAAATATATACAAAGGAATTTGTAAAATGATCCCAAGACATTATATTGCAGGAAAAGAACTAGTAAAGATTACAGACCATAAACAGCAAATGTGTGGGTGCCAGCCTCTAGTTCAGAGACTTCACAAGGTTGGAGACCCTCCAAACTTTTGAAAAATGCAGCCTCAGGATCTTTGGCCATTTCTAACTACACAAACCAAGATTAAAGCATCAAGCTCTTTTACCTGCCTTTGTGGCATCCATATTTTCCAAATAACAATTCAGAGATGGCACGATCAACATACCACGTTAACTGCCAAGTTCATTCGATACACTTGAAAATGTAAAAAGTACATTCCTGCAGATGTTACTTTGCCGGTCTTTTCACTTTCTTCCTGAAGGTGATACCAAAAACTGAACATTACTGTGAAATACTGAAAGTTGGAAGATGATCTTGTATGCTTCAAATATATAATGACAGAACCAAGAAATTTTACACTCACAAAATGACACTATATTACAACAACTATGATAATATAATTCTTAAAGTTGATATGTTATTAACATCGATTTAAAAGGGCGCTCGGGCGCTCGCCTAGGCGCTCGGGCGAGGCGAGGCGAGGCGAGGCCCGAGCGCCTCGCTAAACTTCCAAGCGGCGCGCTTCAAAGAGGCGTCGCCTGGGCGCTCGCCCGAGCCCAGGCGCTGGGCGCTTCGGGCGAGCGCCTGGGTTAAACCAGGCGACCGAACCAGGATTTTAGGTCTGGTTCGGTCTCCGGTGGTTAGTTGGTTCAATCGAACCAACTAAAACTGATATCAGCGACAACCCAACCCTAACCCTCGTTGCCGCTGCCGCTCCCGATCCCGATCCCACTGCTCACAACTGTCGCTGCTCGCAAACGCTGCTGCTGTCGCCGCTCGCGCCTCCCGCTGCTCGCCGCTCCTGCTCCCGCTGCTCACCGTTGCCGCTGCCACTGTCGCTGCTCGCCGCTGCCGCTGTCGCCGCTCACCGCTCCCGTTGCCGTTGCCTCCTTACACTCCCGCTGCCGCTGCCTCCTTACATTCCCGCTCCCGTTGCCGCTGCCCCCTTACATTCCCGCTGCCTCCTTACACTCCCACTCCCGCTGCTGCTGCCTCCTTACACTCCCGCTACCTCTGCCTCCTTACACTCCCGCTGTCGCTGCCTCCTTACACTCCGCTCCTGCTGCCGCTTCCTCTTTTCTCAGTCAGCACCCTCTTACACTTCCT